TGGTAAACATTATTAAGATATTTTGTTTATCTATATATGTAATACAAATTATATTTTATAATATATGTTAGAACTTAGTTTATCTTAAACCAAAAATAGACAAGTTGCAAATTTTTTTATTTTTATTTATTTTTACTTGAATGTTTTATTATTTTTATAAGCTATTAAAAATAATTATATATAAAAATTAAATTTGGTTCTTTATATATTTATTTTTTTTTTTGGTATTAAGGTGATCTCTTTGGTCTTTTGACTTTTATTAATTACTTATTGGTATTGTAGTTCAATGAACTTCTACAGAAGAGAATACAATTGGCTACATATGTAACTTTTCTATATTAACTATTTAAGGAGTCCACCCAAAGATTTCTTACCAATTGCTATACCTAACATCTCTGCTTGGATGTTCCACTTTAAACCCTCTAAATCTGTAACCTGTATTAACTCACTGGGTCATACCCAGATGTTTAGATCATCGTCTCAACCTTAAGACTAATTTATCCTCGAGGTAAACTTCTTGAGTCTTCTGTACCTATTTTTACAGCTAACCTAGATATTGCTATAGCAGAACTAACATTTGTGGTCAGGGCTGACCATTAAACTGCTATGCCCTTGTAGAGTTCACTTAGACTCCAGCATCTACTTCATAGCATAATCTTGGTACTTTAGTATACCCCTGCCTTTTCACCTACCTTTTTACCAAACTCTCAATTCAGATAGCCCATATAGGACTATGACCAGTCTATCAGTATATCGAGTCAGCTGATATTCTTTTTCTTCAATTCATTCTAGCGGCCTAGTTGGTAATACCCTTGAGACTTCTTAACCCAGAGGTTCTTGTCTGTCTGGCTACTATGACCAGGTACTATGATCTTGGTATCTGTTTTTTCAGGCTAGCCTTTACAGTAGGGCTGTCGAAAATTCAGCTACCTTTCTACTCAGGTCTTTCCAAATAGACTTCTTGTTTCTAATTTTAACAGATTTATACAGTCACAAGGACTTATCTAGTGTTTGCATTATCTGATTTGTCATTTTGCATTCCTCTGTATAATGCCATACTTACAAGATGCCTCATGACTTGCCAGTTATACTGGTGCAATTGCCATTATAGGTATCCTAATCCAATCGTTAGTAACAGTTGCTATAATACGAATATTACATAGATGATTATTCAAATTTTCGCTATCAATGGGATTTGAATATCCAATTTATCACTTGGAGGGTTGACAACCTGACCACTTCACTAGGTCATCACACTCCTGTTCTTTATATATTTATTAAAGTTAATTTTTATATTTACTAAAAAGGTTTATTGTTTTATTTATAGTTTTTTTTTTAAAAAAAAATCAATATATTGTATATTAAATTTTTAATTATAGTAATTTATTTTTAAACCAAAGTGTTTTTTTATAAATTTATATATTTTTAATAATTATTTTTTTAAATTTATATAATAGTTATATTATTTAATATTTTAATATTAAGTAATAACAAAAACAATTAATAAAAAATACAAAAATATTTATTTTTTTATTTTTTTTAATGTTAATAATAAGGCCATGCCTCTATTTTTATTAAATATTTAACTGAGATTTTTATATAAAGTTTAAATCTACTTTTAAAATATTATAGCAAGAATAGAAGCTCAGACTAATTTATCTGCAACCTAAACCAACTGAAGTAGCCATGGCTCACCTAGATTTGGGTGTTAGTAATAATATATAAGAGATTAGTTTGATATTTAATCTATTGTATATACCAAGAATTAATCTTAGAGCTAATAGAATTAAGAGAAGAAGTTTGCACTAATTGTAAGATAGAATTGAAAGGTAAATTAGAAGTAAGAAGATGAGTTGTAGATCTTGAAATATAGTAAGAAATCCAAATTTTGTGATAGATTTGTTAATTAAGATGAAATAGAAATTTTATGATAAGTGTTATAGATATTTTTGTAAATGATAAGTCTGCAATTATAGTAATAATTTCATTTGGTACTAAGCCTAATAAAGTTGAGAAAATTGAAGGTAGGTCTGGTAAACTGTGAATAGACATGCAGTTTAGTTGTTTGATTTGATAATGTAAATTAGTTATAAATTCTAAAGTAGTATTAAGAGTAATAATATTAAGAGTATATTGTAATAAGTTATTTATAAGATTATTTAATAGTTATCAGATAAACAAGTTGTTCAATAAAGGTGAGAGTTGATATAATGATATTGATAACAGGTAGGTGAGTATAAGTGATAATGTTTGTGTAAAGTGTGTAGAGCAGAAAGTTTATCTAGTAAAATTTTAATTTTAAAGAACTTAAAAGTAAATAATTAGAAACTATGTAAGAAGTTTAAAATTTTTTGATTGTTGTTGATATACAGCTAGGTGGCTTGTCAGTTAATTTAGTTAGGAATTTTTTTCCATTTCTAAAAGCAGTTTTGAGTAATCTATAGTGCATAAATATGTGCATAACAAATTATATGAATACTGTGATGAGTTGGTAGCTTAAGAAAAAAATTTTCAAAAATAAGAATATAAGCTAGATTGTAAATATTATATAGTATAAAAGTAAGATATAGCAGGTTATAATAGTTATATGCAAGTTAATCAGCTAAATTATTGTATATATTATCTTAATAAGCAGTGACTTTATAAAAGATAATTTGAATTTTGTAAGAGTTAATAAAGTTGACAAGTGTGTTCCAAAGTGAAAAATATAATGTATATATATATAATAGAGTAGTAGAGGAATTTAAAAAGGTTCAGTATTTGAAATTACAGATTGAGAGTCTGTATATATATTTATAGTATAGTTTTTAGGAATAGTAATAAGAGCTGATAAGATAGCAGTAAGTTTTAATTTAAATAAGCAAGACTAAGTTTAACTTGTGCCTAAAATATATGCAGTATAGAATTATTGTCAACTTGTACCTATCCAATGCCCATAGAGCATTAAGAAGTATTTAAATTAATAACAAAGCCATTAGTATAGAAGTAAACTTTTTGTTAGTTAGTATTGTAATTGGCAATTTAATAAAGTTTATAAGTTAGTGTACAGAGTTCAAAAATAGTTAAGATTGAGTTTGTTAAAATAATAATATTGGATGGGCTTGGAGTTTAAGTAGAATGTCTAATTACAACTGAGTATAAAAGATCCAAATAATTAGCATTAAAGTTAAGAGTTTTGTTATTTGTGTTAACTCGATCAAAAAATTAAGTTAAAAAATTAGTAAAGATAGCAATTATACATTTGTTATTAATTATATATAAGTTAAAAGAACAACCAGGACATGCCTGTGATTAAATAGGTGCAAGAGGATATAGGTGAGTAAATTATAATTTAATTTGACATTGCTAGTGAGTAATAAGCACAGTGCCAAATTAAGAAAGTTGTCTTCTGGCTTTATTAGTAATAATTTGGTTATCAAGTACTGTAATAAGCCAGGGTTTTTTATATAATAAGAAATGTTTAGTTGACAAAGATATTTATTATTATAATAATTTACTAAATTACAAATATTTTAATTCTAATAATGATTATGTTCTTTTTGATAAAAAGAGTATTATAGATTCTGCTAATAATATTTTTAAATCTAGAACATCAAATACTAATATATTTGCTATAAGTAAAAATACAAATAAAAATATTTAATCACTAATATACCAGCATATGATGTTCTAGAGAAAACAGAAAAGAAGCATATAAAGTTTATTAGATAGTTTCTAAAGAATAATACATATATAAAAGACATCAAAAAAGTATTCAAGAGAGGAAATCTTTAGATAAAAGTAGTCTTTGACTATAATTATGACAAAGATAAAATTATACAAAAAATTAGTAAAAAAGAAAATAACTGGTACAAGATAATGCCAGAAGACAAAAAAAAGAAAACAAAAAAACTATGAAAGAGAATAACAAAATAACAAAAATATACACCAAGTTCTAAAAAATAAAGGTCAAAGAAAATGATAGAAAAAAAAGACCAAACAATAATGAATATAAAAAAAAGAAAAGATTTATTAACAACATAACTTACTTAAAAATTTGGAACTTATTAGCTAATATAAACAAAAGAGAAGTAGAGTATATTTGCAGAAAAATCAAGAATGTGCAGATAGTATGCATTAAAAGATTTAAGTACAAGGCTTTAGCAATAATATAAATACAAAGCATTGAAGAAGAAGACATTCTATAGTCACTGCCAGCAGACAATAATAAGTTGATAAGAGTAACAAAAGGAAGAAAAAACTACAAAGTAAGAGAAAAACAAAAAAAATATACAGCTAAACTAACAGAACTATCTGAAAATGCTTCTGAAGTCTTATTACTGCATTGTTTGAGAAATAAAGAAGCAAAGTCAGTATATATTTTACTAAACTGAAATAAAAATCAAAAGAGAACAGCATTGATAATATTTGCAACTAAGGAAGACATGAAGGCAGCCTAATTAAAACTGATTATGTACAACAATTTTTAAGTATATTGGATAAATAAAAGGAAAAGAAAGCCAAAAAAAAGAGAAAGTTTCAAAAATAAAAGAAAAAGAAGTTAAGATAGATTAAGCCAAATCTTTAATATAGGAGAAGAAAAAGAAAATAACAGTCTAAGATACAATATAAAAAACCAAAGAAGATATAAAAATATAGATAATAAAAAAAAAGAAAGCTCAGAAAAAAAGAAAAATAAAGATAAGATATAATAGCAAAAAAAGAATACATATATAGAAGATATGCTAAACTAAATTTTAGAAAGACTAGGAAAATTAGAGAAGGCATAAGAGGTATGCTATTTATTATCTGATTTTTACCATAGATACATGGGGTCAACAGGTAATCATGTACTATATATAATATTAGTATATATTACACTATATACTATAATGATCAATCTTAAGATTTCATAAAAGTACATAAGAGCATACAAAAAATTTTATTATATAAAGACAAAAGCTACATATATGATTTTATAAAATTTATATAAAACAGATTCAACAAGATTAATTACAAAGCTAAACTTCTATTAATTCTAATTCAATATCAGATTGGATTTTATGTAAATCTGAGACCTTCTCTTCTAATAAAACATGATTATACTTATTAGCATCTTTAGCAACTTTAAAGTTTACTAAGTTTGCTGCTAATAAAGATTTATTAACTTGTTTTTGAGGTTAGCCATGTTTACCTGGGTGTTAAAAATATTTGTGTTTTGCAATAAACTTTAAGGTAGGATAATACTTATTACACTCACTACAATATGAATGCTGATGCATTTCTTTTGAAATTGATAGGCATGAGCGATTGTATGATGGAATATTCAGTTTGTCAAAATATTGAAAAGCATGTATCAGATTAACAAAATGACCATTTTTACCTTTAGTGACTGAGAGAAGAAACCCATTATTTTGATTCAATAAAAGTGCAGCATCTGGAGCTTTATATTTATTGCAATACAAACAGTCTTTGCATTTTTTTAGATCTAATGAATATCAGCATAACTGAGCATGCCATTCAATTTATTTTTATATCGTAGATGCAAGATTATCAAATGGTTTACTACTTTGATCTACATATTGTACAGTTACAGGTTTTTTATATATTTGATCTCTACTTCAAATTTCATACAACTTTTTTCCTGAAAATTCAAAATTACATCAAGCTAATTCTTCATTTACAACATTTCCTTGAAAGTCAAGATATGCACCATATTCATCTACAGGTAAAGTGATTTCAGTAAGCTTTTCTGAGAAGGAGGCCATACTATGTTTTATGGGATTGTAAGCACTTTGGTATAGTGCATGTATACAGATAGTGAGATAATCAAGATCGAGAGTTCGAAATAAGTTAGAATATTCAATAATATTTTTAAGATGTTTTGGATTCTCGTTAGGCCTTCTTTCATCAACAAGAAGAACTCAGATAGGTTTAACATTATTTTCTTTTAGTAGAATAAAAGCAAATTCTTGGCTATTGATGAGAATTAGTAAATCAGTCATATGTGTTAATGATGATATGCTTAAAAAATATTTAGGTCTAATGAAGATAGCAAGCTGTCTAGTATGAAATGCAATATTAGAATTAGTAGAATTAATGAAAAGATATACAGAAGGTACAAGTTTCATTTTATTCCCTTTGGAAAAATCATAATTTTCAATTATGACAGGCTCATTTACTGATTGGATAGTTTTAAATGTACGGCCTATTGCAGGTATACCTAAACTAATTTTTGCTTTGTCATCTTGAAAGATGACAACAGTTTCACTTGCAAATACTTCTGCAAAAACTTGGGCCACTTTTACTGATGCCAAAAAGTAATGTTTATCAATATGTTGTTTCATGTCTGTTCTTGCTACAGATGCTAAACTGACTTTTGCAGAGTGATGATAATGGCGAGCTGCAAAGGTATGTTTGTATCGAGGTTTCAAATATGTTGACAGGCATTGACGTAAAAGGTAAGTATTGTATTTTTCTTCTAAGGCTTTATGCAAATGCTTGATAGTATAAACTTTAATGACTGTCTTTTTCTTTTAGCATGAGTGGAACTAAACTCAACACAATCAGAATATTGTCCCAAATATCTGAATTTAAAATTGCTGCTGATAGTCTTCCTGATTTATCATACTGCTCTACAATGCCTTCCTCACTAAGCTGTCTTTGTTTTTTGAATCTAAGTTTTGCTTAAGCTTTTGCATGACATTTAAGTTTTTCTAATTTTTTTTACTTACTCAATAATTTTTTTATTTTCTTTCATACTATTTCTAATCACTTGTTTTATGTCTTGGTCACTTAAATGCACTAATGCTTGTTTATATTCAGATATTTGTTGGGTTGCATTCTTAATTTTTGCTATCACATTATGCTATCCAACTGCATTTTTTGCAATGATATTGATATCGAATTGTTGTAATGAAGTTACTGTTGAAGCAGATGGAGAAGCAAATATAAATGTAGAAGTTCTATTAGAATTCGAATTTACCATTAATCTATAATATGAGCAAATTGTACTTGGCATTGTAGATAAGTATAATTTAATCTTTTCATGAATAATATTTGTATTTTCATTTTTTATTTGTTTTTACACTTCTCGGGCCTCACTTAGTAATTGCTATTTATTGGGATTGGGGTTGCAGAAAGTTGCCTGCTTATAGTAAGCATATACATTAGAAAATTCCTAATATAAATCAGTTAGAGATTTATAAAAAATGTATGTATCGAAATTGGGTGTCTTTAGAAAGCTTTGCATGATATTTTTTTCTTTCAATGAAAAAAAAGTATAATTTTATAATGCTTTGGATGATGGTTTAATTTATAGAGATTTGAATTCAAAGATGTGTTATTAATAATTAGAAATTAAAGTCTCAAAAGTTTTGATGATCATCTTTTATTATGAATACAGAATCACAATGAATGAAAATTTTAAATAAGATCTTGAGCCATCTCCATAATAAGTTTAGAGAACTTTATTTTTTTTCTCATTATTATGCATACTATTAGCATTACATTTCGATAAGTATTAGATTTTATGATTACAGCTATCAAGAAAAATTCTTGATTGTTCCAAAACTACCTTATAAAACTACTTTATATTATTTATCATTGTTACAGCATACTAACCTCTAATGGTATTATAGAGATATGTATATCTTTTATTTATGAATATTACTTCATTTTTGCATAAGTTTGAACAAATGAGTTTATTGAATTTATTCTAATATATAATTTTTTTTTTTTTTTTTTAGTTAAAGTCCCTATCTTGGAAGTTGTGATGTTTTATTCAAGTATATTAGGACATGGCATGCCACTAGGGGCTCACCTTACATTGGAGGTTACAACTAGCCACATGTGCACTTTTGATGCCTAATTTAAGTAGTCTGCTTACACATTACTATATAAGTTCTAC